GGTAATCAGTCTTTTTGTTATAGTTGATCCTCTTCCGCCTTTGCATCAATCCTCCCTTCCCTCTCCCCCCATCCTCCTTTATCAACTTTTTTCTTCTTCTCTTCTTCTTCTTCTCTCTTTCCATTCTTCCTCTCTCTTCAAAATCCCCTCCTTCTCACTACAAGCCATCATCTTATTTTTGTTTCTAAACCAAGTCGTGTGCTCACCTAATGATCTCTCTCATTATTATTATTATTATTATTATTATTATTATTATTATTATTATTATTATTATTATTAGCACTTTTGTATTCATAATGTTCAATGTAAATATATTGAACAGCGATTTATTTACATTTGATGCTGCTTTCTTTCAGCTTATCAACAAGTTCGATGATCTGCCATTCACAAAGAATGACGAGAACTTCGTGGAAGCATTTGCTATCTTCTGTGGAATGGGAATCCACAACACGCATATGTAAGTAACATTTAATGAATACGATTTGGCATGTCTTGTCTTAGACAACCCTAATGGTGGGTAACAAATTTGAAGTTCATGTAATGGATATAAAAGAACCGATTTCAATTCCTGCAAAGGAAAGCGAAGATAATTGCAACGTAGTTCAAATATAAAACATTATTTTGATGGCCAGTAAATGTGTACGAAGTAATACATGTGTAATAAAAAAGTGAAGATTTTATTTTCTCTTTCTCCTCGGATATTTACTATGTGGTGAGAGCAAACGGACGTAAAAATTAAACAAGCTGTGATACAAGAGAACATATTCTCTCGCATTATGTGGTACTTTGGTAACTTTCGAAAATTCAGTGTTCAACGAAAATTAGACTGCGACATTTTTTGGAGCGTCCTTTGGTCTATCAGAGGTGGAAAAATCTAAAAGCGTCAGTTTCTGTTGAAATCTAGACATCATCACAAAACTTTCCCGCAGCTTTAGAGAACTTTCTCTATATCATATACTCGTAAATAGTCTATCCGTACGTACGTCCTGTGTGCGCGAATAACACTAGGGCGTAAGCCTTTCATAACATTTACCTTGGGATATTCTCCAAGAAATCTGGCCCAACTCCAGGTTTTGAGAAATTAAAATTTAACTTCGCAATAAAAGGTTCCCAAAGGTTCCTACTATATTTTCAGAATCAGATTCAATATTTGAAATATAAGAGTATAATTAGTTTTCTCAATTTTGAGTCAAAATACGACAAATTTCCAAAAGTTCTACCTAGGAAAGAGATTTTAAAATGTTCCAATTTGTTTTTCTTAATGGGCAGTCACTTTTAAAATAGAGCAAAGCTCGCTTATAAATATGACTTGATATGACTTTCGTTAAAACCTATAAAAGTTCGAAAATTGTAAAAGTTTACATTTTGGGGAATGCGACAGGAGCGCGGTAATATCTAAGCAACGCGAAAACTCATGCGCCAAAATATATATTCAAGCCCATGCAAATATTTTTTGGGACTGAAAACATTCACAGAGGCGATATGGCGATTCCCGGAAAAGAAAACGTGCGCGTGTAGTATCCTTTCGGTTTAGCCTTCTTCGATTACTTCCCATGTCCATGGCCCTCCTTACAGTTCATGGAACGGGCATTTTAGGATGTGTCTTTGGAAGTGGAGTGAAGATGGCGTGGCAAGCGTCATGCTCCAAAAGAATACTCTTTAGCAATATTTATTGTTAACCAAGCCCAAAGCCCCTGAATAGATCATGAGATAAGATAAAAATCCTCAGCTACGCTGAGATTTGTACCCGGGTCCCCAGGTTAGTAAACGTGTATCCTAACCATTCCCAACTTTATACAACATATCAACATGCCGCAATCCCAACTTTAATTAGCTTCTACATAATGAGGTAATTCTGGGCTTCCTAGTACGTTTCAAACGAGTTTTGGTTCCAAAACAAAGGTTCCCTTACCCACGTTTCTCAAACCCACTGTTCCCAAGAAAGCAAGACTTTTGGTTCGTTGTGAATCTATTATCAGTTTTATAACAATGCTGTAAAAGTGCTATTTCTCTGGCGATTGCAATTCTTTGCGAATCATCTTTTGGGCCCTTTATCACATTTTTAGGGCTCTTGAGCTCTCAGGATAATCAGGACTTCCCATTTCATTCGCCAGAAGTGTCACTGAACTATCCGCCGCCAAATAATTTATAAAAGTGTTTAATAATAAAACCATTTAAATTATTTTTGAATTTCCAATTTCATTTCCTCATTAAGACGTAAAATGCGGGGAACAGAAAGTAGGGTACGAAAAATGCGGGATGCAAGAAAGAAAACGTGTGGAGAACGTTCGGAGATGCATGCCGAGGTACATTTGAGAAAGGCCTAGGAAAATGTGCGCCTAGGGAACACTCGTGGGGAAAATGCGAGACACGGTGCCAAGGAAATCCGGATACATTTCTTGGAAACATGAAGACAACTTGCGAAGAATATGTAGAGATTCATGCGAGAGGGAGGTGGAACCAGAGTTATACATATTTCTTCGTCATTATTCTACACAATGTGTTCTTTTTGAACATTCTATTACATTTTTTGGTGATTTAGCTCTTCTGGGTGCACCGACTCCCCGGTAATGAGTAATCAGAAGTAGATTATTAGAAACTGGAAATCTGTGAAATTAAATTGACCCGTCACTACCTATGTTGCTTGACGGTAGAGTTAATCCAGAATATCTATATCCAGAATGAATCTATTTTTAATTTTAAAATTAAGGTTTACAAAGATAAAAAAATTATCGTGTCCAACTAATTATTATTTTACTAACCGTTACATATAAAACGAGAAAGTATAGGCTGTTGCAACATCACGAGTTTTAAAATGTAATGTCATTGATTTTTATACTGATAATAAAATGTGAGAAATTACAAAGCATTAATATAAACATGAATCGCTAAAATACTGATGGATGTTTTTAAACCCTCCGGCGAAATCGTATCCAAAAATTGTTCGTTAGAGAAGCATCTAAATATTTTTCGGCGACTGATGAGCTCTTCTAACCTTCTTTAGTTTCAAATATTCTGTTACTTTAGCATAATTATTGATATCAATGTATTATTTTAGATTTGGAGTGATTTTCAACATTGAAAATTTTAACCATAAAGTCGAAGATATTAGTCTGTTTCAAACCCATTGCATTAATTAGTATTACTATAGTAGAAAATAACTTTATAACAATAACAATTGTAGTCATACCTTCTAGAACAGATACGCCAAAATAACACCTCCATTTTCACCAACAACATTATTTCCATTTCTTCAATTCAAGAACGACTTAAAGTGTAAAATGCTCAGCTCTGCTACGCTCCGCCTCGGTTCCTTATTCACCTCACTTGAAAAAGTACCACTTCACAGCCTTTGTACATGAAATGAAACAGCAGAAGGTGAAGTCAAAACATCCGCTAGAGGCCCGGTCGCAGTAGGAGTAACACAATTTCAGTTCCAGGAGTTTCTTTTAATAATGTTACAAATTGGATTTTCAGTGGTAAGGTTCAAAAGCAAATTCTGAAGTTGTTGGTTATTTAATTAATGTTGAATAGTATTGTTATACAAAACGGTTCGATAAAGTACTTGGTTTATTTTAGTATTTCAGTATTATGTTGGCATTACATGCTCTATTTCGCAGCCTAGGCTCTAAAACAAATATATTTACGGCCTAGAGTGCAAAAATTAAGGTTTAGGTATTATAAAAAGTATCCATGAACTTAATCTTTACAGATAAGTGTACGAAAACAATATATTAATATGCAATAATGATTGGATGAAATAAAAATTAATTAGAGTATTTTTTCCTGACAAGGTCTACGATAAAATTAGAACATATTCGACCAACTCCACCTAGAAATCTAAGGAAGAGAAGTAAAATGACTGTCGCTTTCTAGTACGAATAATTAATAATTCCCCTGGGAACGCTACCAACGCAGTAGAGATTGCCGGGCCTGCCATCTCGTAGCCTACCGTCCTGCTACTTCCCGTACTAACCCTGAGAAGCAGGGCTGCCTCTTCCGCCTCAGGTAACTACCGTTATCTGTGCCGCACAGGTCCCATTTTGCGCCTGTTGCCCCGAGCATAGGTTGTAACATATTGGACAGTTCCCGGAAATAAGTTTAGGGCTCTCCAATTCCGCAGATACACCCATTCTGTCAGAACTCCTTAACTCTCGTCTGTTGGTCGACACATACCGCCGAAGGGATTTGTCACCACAACCTTAGTACAATGATAAGAAAAATACCCTGGACCGCATTGAAGAAGAGAAGAATTCCTCTTCACCTAATAGTTGCTATCCAAAGTCTTCATAATTCATTCAAAATTAAGATTAAACAAATGTCTCCGGGACTAATTAACAGAGGCGTTCGACAACGCTTCCCCTTATCATGCCTTTGTAATTTATATATTGATGAAGCAGTTAGACTGCGGAAAAACATTACAAAAAGAGGGATAAATGTAGATGGCAAGACTTAAACACAAAGTTATATCCAGACGATCAAATATGCATTGCAAAAAGTGAAGATGAACTCCAAACTCTTACAGATAAATTCAACTCTTCAATAAAAGGTTTCAATCTGAAAATCTCAGAGAAGAAATAAAAGGTGGTGGCCTTTTTAGGAAAACATCCTATCCGATCAAAAATAGTAGTAGAAAATAAAATGATTACACTTGTAACCTGGGTTCTAATATTTCCCATTATCAAGAAATAGACCCTGAAAACAAAATTAACAGTATTTAACTATATAAATGCAATGCTTAAAAGAGCATTGAAAAATAAAACAAGACTGGAATACATAAAGCAGCAAAAACCACTTCAAGAATTCAAGCCTCAGAAATGAAATTCTTAAGATCAATTGCTGGATACACCTGATTAGATTAACAACAAATAAAAAAAACAGTACAGCAATTAGAGAACAACTAAATGTACAAGAATTAAACTCGTTAATAAACACCTATAAGTCAAACTGGTTTTTTCACAAGCAAAGAATGACAAGAGAAGATGTTCAAGACCTAAAGGTCCTAGTAGACCAAGAGGTGGGAGGAGCAGCTCAACCCAACTGAATGTTGAATGGTCTAGACTAGTTTCAAACAATGTAGTAGAAGAAGAAGAAAAGTAAAGTGAAATTTTCAACCTTATACAGTAGAACCAACTAAATGTGAAATGACTCTCTCTTACCGTTTATCAAAAATTGTAGAATGTAGTACATACCTGGCAATTTTAGAGCCACAAGTTACTCAAATTTTCATTATTCACTCTGACAGTAAAGTAACTGTATCCATTATCAGTCAAAAATTGAATAAATTCCCTGAGCCATTGATTGGTCTCAAATGTGCTATTACTTGAGGGTGGAACATTTCCAGAATAAAAATAAACAATCAATTCTTCAACTCGTAAATGTATTATGCTTGCAGAATTTAATATGCTGTCTTGAGTTGACCTGTATCCAGCTTGTTAAAATCTTGTAGAGTTGAGTTCTGATTTACAATCAGCAACATTTTCAACTGCGAAACCCAAGTGGCAATCAGGCTTTTGCAATTAGCTGTACGAACAGAATATCACTGGGAAGTTGACTTCAAGCCACTAATTGTGGATGATATACATTTTGTAGACTTATTGACTTTATGTTTAACTATAAATCAGTGTCTCCCAAATTTCCATCAGATTGTTGGGAAATTCTTCCTCCTTTATTATAAAGGTTGGGTCTTAATTAATTTAATTTCCTACTTGCAACATTAAACCAACACTGGTCCAAAAAACTAAATGTTATATTCCGTTTTTTTATAGACTATTGATGTGCATTTTTTAAAATCCACACATAGGTTTGTTTTTTCAAATTTCAAATACCATAGCTTCCCACCTGTGAAAAATATCTGGTAATAAGAAAAACAGCCACAATGTAATATCTCTGTCTGGAAGGGACAATAATATTTCATATGATATATTGAATGATATGAACCATATTTAAGACTATATCTCTGATTTAGGGCTGTAGAATATATCTTTTTTTTCCATAGGTATGAGAAAGCAGTGATAGCCATGGCAAAGCAGAGCGTCACATTGGAAGTGCTCAGCTACCATGCTTCTGCTTCTCTTGAAGATGCACAAAGACTGAGGGTGAGGAACTAACAAGATTTTGCACAATAATTCTGTAAAAGTACATTAATATTCTATAGGAACATTAGACAGATAAATAAAAAAACATACAACTTTGTTTATTGTGA